GCGCACCACGGCCCACACGCCGCAGGCGAGGTGCTGCGCCCGCAGGCCCGAAGCGGCGGCGGGGCGGCCGAGCGCCCCAGCGAGGCTGGCGGCCGCGGGGCGCAGCACGCCCTCCAGCAGCGGCCGGTCCACGCCAGAGCGCTCGTGGACCACGGCCACGGCCCACAGCAGGTTCGACGCCTCCTGCGTCCCGAGCTCGCCGAGGGGCGGCCCCGCCGCCACCGCGCGCAGGAGCCGGCCCGCGGCCGCGGCCTGCGGGACCCTCGCGGCGGCCCACAGCAGGCTCGCCACGTTGCGGGCGGTGAGGCGGCGCGGGTCGCGCAAGGACGCCTCGCGCACGAGCTCCCCGACGGCGGCCGCCGCCTCCCCGCCGGGCGAGCCCAGCGTCGCGAAGGCCCACGCCGCAGCCGCCAGCTGCACCTCGCCGAGCGACCCCGGCTCGACGCTGCGGCGCGGCACAGTGCCACCCGCTGCGCCCTCGCGGCGGCCCAGCTGCGCCGCCAGCGCGGCCCCCGCGCCCACGGCGCGGGACCGCGCCGCGGCGCCCGCGGCCGCGGCGAAGCCCGCCGGCACGAGCGCGCGGCCCGCCTCCGCCGCGCGGGGCTGCGGGGGCGCACCCGCGCGGGGCTGCGGGGGCGCGCCGGCGGGGGCGCGGCGGGCGGCCCAGCCACGCGCGGCCGAGGACATCGGCAGCCGCCGCCGCCGAGGGCGGGGCGGCCGCCGCGTGCAGCGCCATGGCGTGTCCCGGCTCGGAGCAGCTCTGCGGGCGGCCGTGGGGGCCCCGAAGTGGCTGCGGGTGGCGGCGGGGGCGGGGACCGCCTGCTCGAGGAGGGGGGCGGGCGAGAGGAGGAGAGCGGAGCGAGAGGGGGGAGCAGGGGAAGAAGGAGGACAATTGGTGCCGGAACAGTTGGCGGGCGCCCGAAAGGAGCAATGGCCAAGGCCCTCGCCCACACGCACCGCCGGGTGGCCGCATGCCTCGGTGGCTCACGCTACGAGCACTGGAGGGAGCCCTGGCGATCCGGCTGGCCGAAGGGCGGGCGCCAAACGAAGCACAACGAGCCTTGGCGCGCGGGCGCTTGATCCCACCGCGGAAGCCTGGAGGCGGGGTGCGGGCTGTGGCAGTCCAAGACACCTTGCTAGCTCTGCTGCAGAAGGCACTGGCGACCCTCCTCGGACCTACAATCCGGGCGCACACGGCACCCTTCCAGCACGGGGTAGGCACGCTGGGCGGGGCAGAGACCGCGGTGCACTTGACGGCGGCTGCCCTGCAGGCCAATGCGGACTGGGGCTTGCTCAGCCTGGACCTTTCCAACGCCTTCAACGAGCTGGACAAGCACTGCTTGGGGCGCGCCCTCGACACGACGGTGCCCGCGTGGGCGCCGGTCGTGCGCCGCCTGCTGGCCGCCGACTCGGAGCACCTGCTTGTGACGGACGACGGCGCTCGCGTTTTTGTGCAGGTCCGATGCGGATCCCACATGTGCCTGCAGGGCGCGGCACTCTCGGCCTTGCTCTTCGCGCTCGGGACTGACGCCCCGGAGCGCGCGCTATATAGGCGGTGCCTTGCAGGCGGGCGGCGCCCCCAGGCAGCTTACCGCCTACACGGACGACGTCGACGTGGCGCCGTGCACAGCCGCTTTGACTGGACATGGCGGGAGCGGCGACGCCGGCCTTCGCCGAGGCGGGACTCCGGCTGAATGCGTCGAAGCCCTCCTGCTGGAAGCCTGGCGGCCCCGGCCCCGCGGGGGGCCACGATGACAAAACCGCGGGCTGTGATCGAGAGGCCGCGGGGACCTTCCGAACGCCTTGGGGCGCCCCTGGTGCCCCCCACCAGCGGCGCCGGCGGCCTCGGCGGCAGCGTGGCGCACGACAGGGGCGCCTACGATGGGCCTGGAGTGGAGGGCAGAAAGTCCACCCCCATGAGAAGCACCCCGACACGCGAAGCCGTTTCGTAAACGCATCCAAGGAATACATCCAACAGGGCAGGGCTTGCAAGTAAACGCCCAGGGCCCTTCAATGAACGCCAATTGTCCAGTCCGGGTGGCTGTTCCCTCCGTTGATGGAGGCAAGGGGCTCCACGGCCTCCCCGGGCATGCCGCTCCATATGGGCCCTGGCTGGCGCGCCCCCGCTTCCCATGGGGCGGGCCACCGCCGAGCGGTGGACCGTGCTTGGGTCAGGGGGGCTGCGCCGGCTCCCGGTCGCAGTACGCCAGAGGACGTGTCCGCAGCGGGAGGGAGGGAGGGAGGGAGGGAGGGAGGGAGGGGAGAGAGATCCGGCCATCACGCACTGGTACGACATAGCATGCCCCCCCCCTGAACTCGATGAGCACCGCGGCGACGAAAAACAGGAGGCCCACACGTGGTGCCAACCGAAGAGAATGTGGAACGCGACGAAAACAACGTGAGACCGCCAAATGAGTCTCTCCACCATGAAGCCACCAAGAGCTTCTGTAAGAGACACGCCACGACTGATAGAACGAGAAAGATGAAACCCACGCAAAAACTTTAGGCATGTGCGAAGACCGCGACGCCACATCCACATCGCAGAGAACGCCCCCCAACCCACCAACGAGCGCGAACGTGACACTATGCATGGTACTCTGACAAAAACTGAACCATGAGGCCAGTCCACAAGAAACCTTCCACAAGAAACCCAACCCTGAGACCCCAGGACGTCCATGGATTTTTGGTGTGGGAACAGCACGTTTTTCACGGCAAAAGCATCGAAACCCAAGAAACCCAAGGCACTCTGGAGGCAAGCAGGGTGTTTTTTGGCGTGGGCCCCCACTGTCAGTGTTGTTGAGCTTCAGATGAGCACGAACAAACAGCCCACCAAAACAGTATCCGAACAGCCCTGGGCACTACGGGCCCTCACCCCGGCACGGCAGAACAGAGACCCGAGAGCCATGGGGGAACAAGGAGTGAAACGGCACCAGCAGATTGATTGCCAGGATACCGAAGGAATAAATGACTGAAGAAAGCTCCAGCGATTGCATTCCAAAGCCTGAGGTACACGCCCAGTTTGTGTGAACCGGCAACAGCAGAAATCTCAACACATACTGACAGAGCATCCCAGGCCCCTTTCCCTGCACGGTAGAATAGAAACCCGAGGGCCATGGGGAGGATGAAAAGGAACAGCACCATAATACTGCCAAGAACAAAAAACGAACAGCTGAAGGAACCCCCAGCGAAAACATCCCACGCTCGACAGGTGCGGCTTCATTAGCAGGCCGAAATCGCACTCGCCCACATTCGCCCTGCTTCGCTGACGCGAAGAGCTGCGCAACTGCGTGCGGCTGCCACGTCGCCCTCCAAGCGCCCCGTGACGGCGCAAGGCCTGGACTCGCTGAGGCCCCAACCGAAACCAAAATTGAAACGGACAAGCCTCGAGCCAGTGCTTGAGGGAGGGAGGGAGGGAGCGAGGAGGAAAAGTAGGAGGAGGAGGGATAAGGAAGAGGAGCCGGGAGGAGGAGGAGGAGGAGGAAGAGGAGGAGGAGGAGAAGGACGAGTACGAGGACGAGGAGGAGGAGGATGGAGGAGGAGGAGCAGGAGGAAGGGGAAGAGGAGGGGGAGCAAGAGGCGATGTTGACGATGGTGGTGGTGGTCAAGGCAAGGGCGATGATGAGCAGAAGAGGAGGGAGGAGGACGCTTGGCGATGAGGGAGGACAGTTCACAGGGAGAGCGGACGAGCGGACGGGGAGACCTTTTTGGGGCGCATACACCACCCCCTCCTCCTTCGCGCTTTCAGCCTTTGGCTGGCGCGCGCTGAGGCCGGCCCTGCCGTACGGACCAAGGGAAACGTCTGGATGCCTGCCAGCACACCCCGCGGGTATCCGCCAGAACCTCGCTGGGTCCACCCAGCCTGTGCGTCCAGGTATGCGCGGGGCCAAATGCTGAACATCGGCACGCAGGCTCAGCAAGAGCGCGCGTGCGCTTCTTTGGAATGAGTTGTTTGCCTGGGACGTAATGCAAAGCTCGCCCCACTCCCTACGCCCACCCGGCCGCGGAAATTGTGTGTGGCCCTCCCACCCCCCTTCCCCTCCCTTCGCCTGCCTCCCCTCCCCCCATCTCCTCGGCCATGGCAAAGACGCGTGTCGGTTCATTTCCCGCTATCTCGCGAGCGCGCTGATCGGCACAACTCGTGTTGTCTTTGCCTATGCGTCCTCTCGGGTGCACGGCTTTGTCTGTCTGTCACCTGGACACATGGGTCCGACGGTTCGTGGCCCCGACAAGCTCCAATGTGCATATGACGCCTCCGACATGACACTCTGAAGCCCGTAGGTAATGCCCTATAGTGCCCCGAGAATTCCGCAAGAGGGTCTGAGAGCGCCTCATCCCTCCTGAGCACCAAGGATGGCGTCGAGTGTTGCACAACTGCTGAGACCACACATGCCTAGCGTTCACAACATGTAGCACGTGCTCCTGTAAAGTCCACGACCCACTCGGGGAACAAGCTTGAACAACAACAACAACAACAACAACAACAACAACAACAACAACAACAACAACAACAACAACAACAACAAACAACAACAACAAACAAACAACAACAACAACAACAACAACAACAACACAAACCAACACAACAACAACAACAAACAGAGCAACACGAACAAATACCAACAACAACAACAACAACAACAACAACAACAACAACAACAACAACAACAACAACAACAGCACAACACAACAACAACAGCAGCAACACCAACACCAACAACAACGATAATCCGCCGACCCCTTGGGGTTCATCGGCGTGTGAGATGTTCCCCCTCCCCAAACCCCTCCCCCGGGAGCCCGGTCCGGTCCATTTGGAGGGGGGGGGGGTCCGGCCGGACGGGCCGGAACCCCCCGGAGGTCTCATCCGCTCCCGAAAAACGTGGAAAAACACGTGAAATTCGTGTAGGGACGCGTCTGGTGGCCTCGAAATGGGTTTGGGACGCCCCACGAGCGCTCCAAGACGTCCAAGTTTGCCCGAAGACGGGCCACGAGGCGTCCTCGACGGCAGAAGAGGTCCCCACGACTCCCCCGAAGGCCTCCGAGATGCGTTCCACAAGGGTCCCTAGACGCCAAAATTGGGCCATTCCCTTCGTGAAATGCACATTTTTTAGAAATTCAGCTTTGGATTTTTCCGATGCTCCCCGACGGCCCAAGAGGCTCCCAAACCCGCTCCCAGACGGCCCCAGAAGCCTCGCAGAGGGCCCCCCACAGACCCCTAGAGGGCCCAAGATGGGCCAACAGGCGTCCAAGACGGCCCAACACGGCTCCGAAAATGGCCCCAAGAGCGTTCCAGGAGCGCTCCGAGTTGCCTCCCCGAAGCTCCACATGGTCTCAAACGGTCCAAGAGCGATCAGAAACATCGACGACGACCTCCCGACGGCTCACGAGGCCTCCCCAGACGCCACCAACGGCATCCAATATTCCCCCCAAGAGGCCCTCTAGACGCAAAAAATCGCTCGTTTCCTCTGTAAAACGTATATCTTTCACACGTGCGCCTTTGGGGGTGACCCCCGCTCCTGCACGGCCCCAGAGCCCCCCAAACCCGCTCCCAGACGGTCCAAGACGCCTCCAAGAGGGTTCGTACATTGCCCTCGAAGGCCCCAAGACGTTCATCGGCGTGTGAGATGTTCCCCCTCCCCAAACTCTTCCCCCAGGAGAAGGCAGAGGAGGAGAGGCAGGAAGAGGAGCAGGAGGAGCAGGGGGAGGAAGAGAGGAGGAGAGGGAGCCGATCATCGTCATCAGTGTCGTGATCATCAACGACGTCTTTGCCATCGACAAGGTCAGCCCAAACATCCCCGAACATTAACAGTTAGCGGGGCATCCCGCTTGGAAACCGCCGACAACCGTAAGATGTCTCCGGGGTGTAACATACTTCCCTGGCTCCGGCACCCGTGCAAGGCCCCAAACACAACCCAAAAAAACCTCCCTGTGCCGTCTTGGGGTTCGCTTGGGCCGTCTGGAAGCCCTCTGGGCCAGTTTGCGACCCATGTCGGCTCCCCTTCTCGCTGTGACGGGCCCTGAACAGCCTCACTTTCCCACGGTTTGCAAGGGAGCTGTGGTGAACGATCCCGAGGAAAATCCAAGGGGTCGGCGGATGTGGCGGAAGCCTGAAGAATCACAACAACAACAACAACAACAACAACAACAGCAACACCAGCAACAACACCACCAGCAACAAACAATCTAAGACTGTTCGCTCTTACTTGCCCGTGTGTTATTCAAAACGAGTTCCCCACACCCTCGATACCCGCCCTTTTTGTCTTCGATCACACCCCCTTTGGGGGGAGTTTTTCTCTTTGTGGGGGGCGGGCTTAGACAGGCGGGCAAACCTGAACGGGCGGACAATCCTTCGTGGGCGTACATGTGCCCGCCATTGGAATTGGTGTGGGCCATGCAAAACGAGGAGGAGAACGAGGGAGAGCGGGAGGAACGGAGGGAGAGGGACGAAGGAAGAGGGAAAACGCCAGGAGAAAAGGAACGATGAGGGGGGTGGTTGATTATAGAGAGAGAGAGAGACAGAGAGAGAGAAACAAAAAAACAGATAAGAGAGGTAGAGAAAGAGAGAAAGAGGGGAGAGAGAGAGAGAGAGAGAAAGAAATAGGGAGGGAGGAGGCAGGAGAGGGGAGGGAGAAGGGAGGAGGGAGAGGAGCGAGAGGGGATAGGGCAGAGGCAAAAGGATGAGGGAAGAGAGGAAGGAGAGAAAAGGGAGGAAGGAGGAGGGAGAGGGAGCAGGAGCAGGAAGGTAAGAGCGTGAACTTTCGAGAAAATCCTAGGCGAAAGCGCCGTTCCTGAAGGAAGTCTCGGGCGGGCCACGACGGGCGGGCGATCCCATGCAGGGCGGGTCGGGCGGGTGGGACATTCAAGCGGGACGCCTGAGTATGGCGAGAGCGCGATTACGAAGTAAATTGTAGCGGCGTCCTTGGCGCAGCGTGTTTCCTGAACGTCGAAAGCGTGATGTCTGAATAAATTGCATGGAAATCACAGGCGAACGCGCAACTCCTGAATAAAATGTGAAGGGGCTCTCTGGCGGGAGCGGGGGTCTTGATTAAATTGCGAGGAAGTCTTGAGTCAATTGCAAGGAAGTCTTAGGCGGGAGCGCCGTTCCTGAGTAAATTGTGAGGAAGTCTCAGATGGGAGCGGGGGTCCTGACTAAACTGCGAGGAAGTCACAAGCGGGAGCACCGATCCTGAGTAAATTGTGAGGGAGTCTCAAGAGCGGGGGTCCTGAGTAAATTTGGAAGAAGTCTCAGGCGGGATCCGTTGTTTTTGTAATCCGGGGGGCCAGGGGCCCAGTTTGAGCAGGAAGACTTTCCCTATCAAGAAGCAGGGTGCGAGCGTCGAGAGGCACACTTTGATTGAAAAAAACAATATGCACCAGTGAGGGGGGATCAACAATAATTACTCTTCAGAAATGAATCTTCCACACAGGAACGCCATGATTGAGCCCCTTCTCATGGGGTGAGCTCCCCCGTCGCTTCCCACGGGAAGCACGCCAGGTTTCTGACGCTCCCTCTGGGGACGGGGAGGGGGGGAACACCGCATCGCATCGCACCGGCTTCCGGGCCGGCCCAGTGGGAATTGATTCGATTGCCAGATCCCATCGAGGAGGCTAAGGCGCCTGCAAACGCCGAAACTTTCCAGGACATGTCGTCCCCACGCAAGCTCGGCATCCACTAAACCCATAGCCAGGAAACCCTTTTTAAGGAACCTTTTTATTCAATAATCCTGACTACAAGAACTTAAAGCAGGAGTCCCTTCTGAAATACCCTTACTACATAATCCTTACTAGGACACCTTAATCAATAATCCATACTGAGGGACTCTTGCTCGAAACTCCTTAATAAAGAACCTGCATGAAGAAACTTACTGCGGGAATATGGTTCACGAGTCCTTACCTCGAGAACACTAATGCACAATCGTTACGATGGGAGTCTCACTCAAGAAGTTTTACTGAGAGGACCCTCAGACATAATCCTTTATACGGGGGTCTCACTCAAAAGTTCGGACTAAAAGAATCTGAATGACGAACCCTCCTTACGGGACTCTTACTGAAGAGTCCTTACTAAGAACACCTTAATACGGACCCTTACTGCGGGAGTATTACTCAAGAGTCCTCACTACGGGAAGCTGGTACAGAATTCGAATTATGGGAATATTACTCACGAGTCCTTCCTAAGAGGACCTGAATAAAGATTTCTTACTACGTCACAATACTTAAGAATCCTTACTCACAACTCCTTACTAAAGAAGCCTTGCTACGGGACTTTTCCTCAAGAGTCCTTACTAAGAGCACCTTAGTTAAGACACTTCACTGGGGGAATATGACTCAAGAGTCCTTACTAAGAGAACCTTCATGCATAATCTTTACTACGGGACTCTTTCTCAAGAGTCCTTACTAAGAGCACCTACATGAAGAATTCTTACTACGGGACTCTTAGTCAAGGGTCCTTACTAAGAGAACCTCAATAATAAAACCTTACTGCGGGATGATTCCCCAAGGGCCCTTACTAAGAGAACCCGAATACATAATCTGTACTATGGGAGTCTGAATCAAACATTCTTACTAAGGGAACCTGAAAACCTTACTACGGGACTCTGGCTCAAGAGTCCTTAAAAAGAGAGCCTTGATAACGAAGTTTTGCTACGGATAGATAAATCAATAATCCTACTTAAGAGTCCTTAGCCAAGAATCCCAATCAAGGGGCGCTACAACGGGGATGTTACGCAAGAGTCTTTCCTCAGAGAACCCTCATACATAATCCTTTTTTTTATGGGAATATTACTCAATAATCCTCAGTCCTTACTACGGGACTGTTACCCAAGAGTCCTGACTAAGAATGCCTTCGTACAGAAGCCACACCACGGGAATATGACTCAAGAGTTCTTACCCAAAGAACCCCAATACGGATTCCGTCCTATGGGAGTGATACTCAAAAGTTTCAATTAACAGAACATGAATGAATCTTGATACGGGACTCTTACTCTTCCTACGGAAACATTACGCAAGAGTGCTTACTGAAAGAGCCCTCGCTCCGTCGCTAACCATCACCCCTCGCTCCGTCAGAGCGTACGTCCTACATCCCTCCGCCCTCCCCGCTCACACCCTCCATCGTCGTCATCCTCATCACCATCATCATCAGCAGCACCATCCTCATCATCACCACCACCAGCATCATCATCATCATACCATCAGCATCGCCCATCATCATCATCATCATCATCATCATCATCATCATCATCATCATCATCATCATCATCATCATCATCATCATCATCATCATTAGCATTATCATTATCAACATCATCATCAGCACCACCACCATCATCAGCAACATCACCATCACCATCTCCAGCAGCAACATCCTCATCATCGTCATCAACAACATCATCATCATCCCCATTATCGTCGTCATCATCATATCACCATCACCATAATCATCATCGTCGTCGCCATCATCATCATCATCATCATCATCATCATCATCATCATCATCACAATCATACCATTCATCGTCATAATCATCGCCATCATCATCACCACCATCATTATCAGCGTAGTCACCACAATTGACAGCATCGCCGCCACCACCACCCCTGTCATCACCGTCGGCATCAGCAGCCGCATCATTGTCGCCATCGTCATCATCATCACCAACATCAACAACAGCATCATCATCACGGTCGTTTTCATCGCCATCGTCACCGTTATCAACATCACGATCGTCGTAGGTACCCTACGACACCAAGGACCCCATCGACATCGGAATCGGAGTCCCTACGATGCCAGGGCCCCCAGGGAATCTCGTAGGTGCAGCGTCCCCCACCCCCCCGATGTGACGCGATGCGACCCCCCCTCCCCCCCTCCCCCGGGGGGGGGGGCGTCTGAAACCCGTCGTTCTCAACAGCAACAACAACAATCATGTTGATATTGTTCGCTATTATCTGCTCGAGTGTCCGTTAGCGCGTACTTCCCAAACCCTCGATACCCGCCCTCTTCGTCTTCGATCGTACACCGTTTGGGGGGTATGCCTTTCTTCCCTGCAGGCCCGGCCCCGGCAAGCGGCGGGGCGGCCGCGGACCGTCGGCCTGGCCAGCGGCAGCGCTGATCGGCGGTAACCCGACCCCAAAAGGGACGGACAGGGGACCGACCACGACGACGACGTCGACGACAACGACGACGGCGACGACGAGCGAAAGCGAGAGAGAAAACGACAGCAGGGCCACGAAGGACACGAAGTAGGCCACGAAGGGCGACAGCGGGGACACGAAAATAATGCGTATGGGGCCACGAAAAGCGCGAACGAGCGGGGGCCACGAAAGGCAGATAATGCGGGGCCACAGAAGGCAACGACGGGGCCACTGAGGGTAGCAACTGGGCCACGTAGGACAGCGAGGGGGCCACAAAGGGTGACAGCGGGGCCACGAAGAGCATGCACATGGGGCTACGACGGGCGCGAACGAGCGGGGGCCACGAAAGGTATACGTATACTGGGCCGCGGAGGGCAAGGACGGGGCCACTGAGGGCAGCAACGAGGCCACGAAGGGTGACAGCGGGGCCACGAAGGGCATGCATATGGGGCCACGACGGGCGTGAACGAGCGGGGGCCACGAACGGCATACGTATACTGGGGCCACGAAGGGCAGCGACGGGGCCACGAAGGGCTGCAACGGGGCCACGAAGGGCAGCGAGGGGGCCACGAAGGGCTGCACGGGGCCGCGAAGGGCAGCGAAGGAACCACGAGGGGTTGCAACGGGGCCACGAAGGGCAGCGAGGGGGCCACCAAGGGCTGCAACGGGGCCACGAAGGGCAGCGAGGGGGCCACGAAGGGCTGCAACAAGGCCACGAAGGGCAGCGAGGGGGCCACGAAGGGCTGCAACGGGGCCACGAAGGGCAGCGGGCGCCACGAAGGGCTGCAACGAGCCCACGAAGGGCAGCGAGGGGGCCACGAAGGGCTGCAACAGGTCCACGAAGGGCAGCCAGGGGGCCACGAAGGGCTGCAACGTAGCCACGAAGGGCAGCGAGATCCCGATTCCTAAATAATCTGCGAGGGAGTCCTAAGCCCTAAGCGTGAGCTCGACTCCTGGGTGCCGGAGTGTTGGGAGCGCGGCGCTGGAGTCGGAGGTGAAGGGGTGAGATCGAAAGGGAACGGAGAGCCCCTCTACCGGGAAATCGGTTTCAGTTTCGTGTTCGTGCGTGCCGTGCGTGTGGGCGACGCGAAGCTGCGTGGGCGGGCGAGAAGAAAGTCTCCTCGGGCTGAGGCGCGGCCGGACCACACGTTTCCTTTCCAGGGCCCGGTGCCGCGCGGTGTCCCGCCGGTGTCCCGCCTCCGGCTGAGGCGCGGCCGGACCAAATGTTTCCTTTCCGGGGGCCGGTGCCGCGCGGTATCCCGCCGGTGTCCCGCCGCTGTCCCGTCAGTGTCCCGATGATGATGATGATGATGATGATGATGATGATGATGATGATGATGATGATGATGATGATGATGATGATGATGATGATGATGGTGATGGTGATGATGATGATGATGATGATGATGACGATGACGATGATGATGATGATTATGATGATGTCGATATGATGTTGATGGCCATGGTGGTGATGATGATGATGGTGCCCCGATGATGGTGATGATGATGATGATGATGTTGATAATACTGATGTTGCTGATGATGATGGTGTCCCGATGATGATGATCATGATGATGTTGATGATGATGAAATGATGAGGATGCTGATGAAGATGGCGATGATGGTGTCCCGATGGTGATGGTGATGCTGAGGTTGTTTATGATGCTGTTGAAGATGATGGTGATGATGATGATGATGATGATGATGATGATGATGATGGTGTCCCGATGATGATGATGATGACGATGGTGGCGTCCCGATGATGATGTTGATGATGAGGATGGTGACAAGGTGATGCTGGTGATTTTGATAATGGTGGCCCGATGATGATGATGCGGATGTTGATGATGATAATGGTGCCTCGATGATGATGATGGTGATGATGATGATGGTGACGATGATGATGGTGTTGCTATTGATGATGATGTTGCTGCTGATGATGATGATGATGGTGTCCCGATGATAATGTTGATGATGTTGTTTATGATGATGCTCATGAAATGATGATGATGATGATGGTGGTGTTCCGATACTGATGATGATGGTGTCCCGATGATAATGATGTTGATGATGACGGTGATGGTGACGATGATGGTGGCACGATGATGATGGTGATGATGATGCTGTTGGTGATGATGGTGGTGAAGCGATGATGATGAATCTGTCCCGATGATGAGGATGATGTTGATGACGTTGATGACGATGTTGAGGATGATGACGTTGATTGTGAGATCGATTGTGATATCGACAATGAAATCGATAGTGAGACCGAATGTGAGACCGATTCTGAGATCGATAGTGCAATCGAATGTGAGATCGATAGTCAGATCGATTGTGATATCGATCGAATGAAATAGATCGAGTGAGATCGATTGTGAGATCGACCGAGTGAGATCGATCGAGCGAGACCGATAGTGAGATCGATAGTGAGATCGATAGTGCGACCGATCGAGTGAGACGTTGGTTCCTCCCCCCCTCGAACCTCCTTATCACCCGAAGGGTGGTCGTATAGGTAAATCGAAAGAAATTCCAACGCACGGGCGCTTCTCTTGAGTAAATTGCAAGCAAGTCTCCAGCGAGAGCGCGACTCCAGAGCGCCGAGAGAGCGATTCCTGAATAAATTGTCAAGAAATCCCAAGAGAGAGCGCGATTCCTAAATCAAATGCGAGGAAGTCTCGGTCGGGAGCGGGGTACCTGGCCAAATTGTGAGAAATCTCAGGCCGGAGCCGTTGTTGTAATCCGGGGGGGCAACAACACAATTTGAGAAGGAAGACTTTCCCTGATTAAAAACAGGGTGCGAACGCCGGGAGAGGCACTTCACTTGAAAAAAATACAATGTGCACCGGAGGGGGGGGGATCAACAATGATTATTTTTCAATAATCCGCCGACCCTGTCGGCGTGTGTGAGGGGCTTTTCCGTTCGAGCCGTCATCTCCGTCATTCTTTGTACTCGTCGTCTCTGTCCTTCCCTTTCCCTGGGAGACCTCTTCCCCTGGGCTCCAGCCAAGCCGACCTTGAGCAACCTCGTAATTGAGTCGAAGGGAAGCCCCTTCCCTTTGATCCCTCCCCCGCCGGGAGGGGGGGGGGGGTAGCGACCCCCCCCCCGGGTCAGATACGACGCCCCCCCCTGGGACTCCTCTTCCCCTGGGCTCCAGCCAAGCCGACCTTGAGCAACCTCGTAATTGAGTCGAAGGGAAGCCCCTTCCCTTTGATCCCTCCCCCGCCGGGAGGGGGGGGGGGGTAGCGACCCCCCCCCCGGGTCAGATACGACGCCCCCCCCTGGGACTCCTCTTCCCCTGGGCTCCAGCCAAGCCGACCTTGAGCAACCTCGTAATTGAGTCGAAGGGAAGCCCCTTCCCTTTCATCCCTCCCCCGCCGGGAGGGGGGGGGGGGGGTGTAGCAACTCCCCCCCGGGTCAGATACGACGCCCCCCTGGGACTCCTCTTCCCCTGGGCTCCAGCCAAGCCGACCTTGAGCAACCTCGTAATTGAGTCGAAGGGAAGCCCCTTCCCTTTGATCCCTCCCCCGCCGGGAGGGGGGGGGGGGTAGCGACCCCCCCCCCGGGTCAGATACGACGCCCCCCCCTGGGACTCCTCTTCCCCTGGGCTCCAGCCAAGCCGACCTTGAGCAACCTCGTAATTGAGTCGAAGGGAAGCCCCTTCCCTTTCATTCCTCCCCCGCCGGGAGGGGGGGGGGGTAGCGGGGGGGGTAGCGACCCCCCCCCGAGTCAGATACGACGCCCCCCCCCCGTACCGACCTTGAGCAACGTCGTCATTGAGTCGAAGGGAAGCCCCTTCCCTTTCCCTTCCCCGACGGGGGGGGGAGAGGAGGTCCCGGGGGGGGTCCCGGGGGAGTCCCGGGGAAGTCCCGGGTCAGATACGACACCTCCCTCCCCCACCTTCTCGTCCTTCTCCCCGTTCCCCCAAACCATCCCACAGCCCGTGCCTCTTGCTGCGCATTGCGAACAGGGTCGGCGGCACCGGCCGTCAGGCCTTCGCAATACAATGTGCACCGGAGGGGGGGGGATCAACAATAATTATTTTTCAATAGTGAGAGTTCGACAACGAAACGATAGAGCCCGATGAAATCACTACGACGACGACGACAGGATAATCATTAATCCGCCGTCCAATGTCAGCAACGTGCGCGGATGTGCGCCATGGCCAGGTCATCGATATATTCCTTCTTAGTCTTTGCGCGCCTCGCGGCAACATTGAGAGGCGGACGCCACTGCATGCCCGGGTGTTCGTCCAAATCGATCCCCCGCTGTGCTGCGGTCATGGCTGGTTCTAGGTTCGGCCTTACCGCTTCGCTCCCCCAACGCGAAGCCTGCCGTCCAAGATGCAGTGGGTTCGTCAAGGTGTCTCGTGACATTGACGGCAGACGCCACTAAATGCGAAAAGTTCCGCCCGCAATGTTCAACTGTGTTTTGGCCTTCATCCACGTACTGTTTTCGTGATCGAATTGTTTCGTTCGGATGTGCATGGCCCCCTTGACATCTACGGGCCTAAAGGACTCCGAGGGTGAGCTAAGAAGGGCCGC